AATTGAAGCCTATATTAGGTATAATAAAATACCTAAGATATATATGGTGGGAAAGTGATAATTTTGTAATTAAAAGCGATATTTTTAGAAGATTTGTAAGAATATTCTTAAAAAATTATCGTGTTACCATGACAACTGCTCTAGATACTTCATGTTCGGAAAATACAATGGTTTTGTCAGCAAGGCGAGGGTTTCTGCATGCATGTATATTCTAGTAAAATATATAAAGTAGGTATATTATTTTTCTTTCTATGGGTGGCTTTATTTTAATGTAAAATTCTCAACGAAACTCTATGTAAAACGTTTTTAAATGTGAATTGAAATTAACTGCTTTTTGCTGATATTAAGCAAATAAACTCTTCAACTCGAGCTTCAACTTATTATTCACACTTTGAAACGAAATAAATTTAATTCGTACAGGACGCTTATGAACATAATTTGCTCTCCTTTTCAAAGTACGAGGAACTTCTACAAAAGTTAATTTAACTAAGAAACTTTCGCATACAATGGATAAGAAAGACTTAAACAACAAGAACAAAGTCTATATTGATTTAATAATACAAAGTCACACATAAACAATTGAAATAAATTTACCCAATGCTTTAGGATTTCTCATACATAAAATTTGTTATGTGAAACGATTTTCCAGGCTTTCTTACATGTATTTTTTATATTTTTGCCTTAATTCTTCACTCCTGGCGAACAGCCATATTTTGATATCAGTGAGATGACCACCCACCCAAAACACACATTGACCCACGCCCACGAACATTGATGAACTTTAGACTTCGCTAATGCTTTCCTTTCCCCGGGTGTAAATAACCGGGTCGAATTAGTACCCTAGCCCCGGGATTACGCGCGGAACGGCGCTAGTACCCTCGCCCCGGGATTACGCCCGGAACGGCGCTCCGCGCCGTTGGCTCGGGAACAAAATAGTTTAGTAATGTCAGTTTGTATTTCAAATTAATTTACTCTGCTTTACATTTTACCTTTTTTCATAAATTAAACAGGGTAATTTAGCAAACTTACAGCTTCATTGAAAAGGAAAGCAGTGCATGTTTTACACAATAAATTAAAGCAACAAAAATTATTGACTTTATTGACTTTATTATTAACTTCATTAAAAATAGGTACGCAACGCGTACATGTATCAGCGAAAAAATTTGATTCACATTTAGTATTTTCTTGAAAGGAACTGAATAAAGTAAATGAACTGATCTATTGAAATATTTCATCACTTATTAAGATAAATATAATAGCAAATAACATTTTAAAGTCAAGCATAACTACTGCAGTTTTATAATGTGATTATGATTGTTACAGATTATTATGTGCAGCCAGCTATTCAGTTAACTGTCACTTTTGAATTCAATCCATTCTCATTGAATTTCAAAATTTTATTGTATTCATATGAAGCAAAAGTTTTGTGACTTCTTCTTTACACTTGCCAATGTTAACTGTTGAGTAACATACACAAACTATTTGAGGAACATTTATTCCTACTGAATAATAGAAAATGTTTTGAAGGTCATGAGTGAAGTATATGATTCAATTCCAGTCTTGTGCACAGTTAATGATATACCGCACTGTTCAGTTTAACACAGCATATCGGTTTTAGCATAGAAGGTATCATAACGGTAGCATAACGGTTTTAGCATAGAAGGTATCACAAGTTTAAATTTGTACATTGTATGCCATTGATCTGATCCATGCATATAATATATGATTATTGTAACTGTTAATATCCAGTACATTTATTCATTATTCTTGTATTAATTTAGCTCTAAACAAAAACACATAAGTTGAAAAGCAAAATGACAATGTACAAATGAGGAGGGAGGATGGGGAACCTTTTATTAGCATTTGAAAATGTTTGTAAAAATTTTCTTTAATTATTAGTAATATGTGTAAAACCAAAATTTAAAACCAAATGTGTAATGTGTAAAACCAAAATGTATAAGTAATTTAACTGATAACATCTTAACATTGCTCTAACACTACATTTGATGGCAGCTTATTTTTTTGAACAGAGTTACAGAAATACAGAACCAGGATTTAATTCACTATCTCTTGAGAACATTAATTTCCTGTGATATTGTTCATATTTGACAAATATATTGCCTGCTATCAGCTATGTTTTGACACAAATACACAATGATTGTTCTTAGTAGTATAAATGTAGATAATAAAATATGTGGTATTTGCTACTTACCAGATGAGGATAAGTTTCCATGTTGATAAATAACTTAGGAATAATATCGGAAGTAAAATCATGAAAACAAAACAGCCAATTCAAGATTAAAATCAAGATATTTTTGAAGCCAAAATGTGAAAATGGCAAAGAATATTCACGAATCCCGAGGCCGAAACGATGCCCGTTCGCAGGTTAGATGCGGGCATGATGTAAACAATTGATGTAAACTAATCGCTGATTGGCTTAAATTATCATGAATTGGATCAATTATATAAGCTCGTCGCTGAATGGCTATGGGTTACATTAACTGCACGTTTGCGATAGCAATATATCTGCTTCGAAGATACAAAAACGGTATCGTATATTTATTATTCACTTTATTAAAAACGGTAATCCCCGAGCCGACGGCACGAAGCGCCGTGCGAGTGTAGTAATCCCGCCCGGCTCTTTACACCCGGGGAAAGGAACGCACTAGCGAAGTATAAAGTTCACCAAATATCGTGGGCGCATGGCTCACCGTTCATGGGTGGTGATCCTCACTGATCACAAAATATCTAGCGGACAGTCGTGAATAGTGAACACTGATTTGTCAAATTTGAAATTTGCATTATAACGACTGCACTGACGACAGCGAAATAACAAACATTTCTTTCAAGTTGTATTTTTGCAAGATTTTGTAATTTCAAAACCTTTCTGAGAGCCAAAAGCGTCTAAAAAGTTCTAAAAGAATGAAGCAACGTCGCCGACGTTAATGAAAGTAAGTTTGTTTTAAATATTGATTATTGTTTGTTTTATAATTGATATATTTATAACTGATAGTGGTGGGCGATACTGCGAATATCGAACTGATATACTATCGTTGCGCTCGTCGTTGCGTATATAAGTGAAAAAAGACAGCATATAATTTCAGTGTAGTTTTATTAATTACCCTTTCTTTTGTATATTAAAATATTTAAAAAAACAGGAAAGCAAAGTTATTTTCATGCGAGAATTTGAAATCAGTTTATTTCAAACTCAATGTTTACCGATAATTCGATGAAAGGCCGTTTTAATATTCTAAGAAGATTTTAAAACGTTTTGCGAAGCGTTTGTGGCAAAATTTTACATTAAATCGAAGCCAATATTACGTATAATAACACATCTAGCATATATATGTTTAGGAGATTTTTCAATTTTAAAACTATTCTTAAAAATATATATATATAAATTATATTGATATAAATTATCAATAGTTTTTAATTCAATCGCTGGAAATAGATATCCAGTATTAGTATATTCGCTTCATTTTAATTGGTTATAGTTATACTAGTTAATTGGTTGACATCCAAGTTGATACTTTTTCCAAGTCATGGATAAGATTTTCAACAATTACATTAATATTTTCACTAGATGTATCGACTTGAGTGTCATCTTCAAACATACTAGCACTTGTTCTCTCTAGGCATTGAGGCAGATCATTTATTTATATTGAAATAGAAGCGGCCCTAAAGCAGAGCCTTGCGGAAAACCTGTTTTTACACGTAGTGGTCTAGATAAGTGGCCACTTACTTTACAATATTGCGTTCGAGTTGACCTGAGTCAACATAGTCCGGTTCTTGTTATGTCGTAATTATTCAACAAGTAGGATATCACGATTGACAGTATCGAATGCCTTTTTTAAGTCTAAGAATACGACGCCCTTTAGTTTATACCGACATCAATATTTTGATACCATCTATTGGTGATGTCTGGCAATGCAGTAACCTTATAGAATGGCATGGTCTGAATCCGTGCTGAGAATTAGTTAACAAATTTGAGTACAACAAGTAATCATAAATCTGGTTGTGTAGCACCTTCCCCATAATTCGTGCTACAATCGAAAAGACAGATATTGGCATAATTAGAGGAACAATGGACCTTTAACCTTATAACTAAAATTTTGATCTAGACCAAAATTTCATCACAGCTTGAAAGAGCATCACAAAATTAGTAATATTCCGAAGTTTCGTCGCAAAATGTTGTAAAATGCGGATAATATAGCCTTGCGAAGTTTTCAATTTTCAGTCATTTTAGATTACAAACGGGAAATTGATACACAAACACCCGATTTGTGTATCAATTTCCCGTTTGTAATCTAAAATGACTGAAAATTGTAAACTTCGCAGGGCTATATTATCCGCATTTTATAACATTTCGCGACGAAACTTCGGAATATTACTAATTTTGTGATGCTCTTTCAAGCTGTGATGAAATTTTTGTCTAGATCAAAATTTTAGTTATAAGGTTAAAGGTCCATTTGTGGCCCCAGATTTGTATGTTGATGTTACTCAGCCAGATCTATTCCTGTTCTTGGAAGCCCATTCATAGCCATTGAAACTATTGAACCAATTGGTATCGAGCCATCCATTCTAGTTTCATTGATTGCAAGGACATCAATGTCTTTATTTCTCATTATGATTCTAAGTTCGTCTATGTGTTTGGGTAGACTAGCTATGTTTAGGTTTACAATATTAAAGCCTCTAATTTTAGGGAAAATAGAGTCTTGGTGTGTAGAGACATTGTCTTTAATAGTGCAAGTATTTGAAGCATTTATAGGGAATATAGAGTTTTCATATATAGGGACATATTCATTGATAGCGCTAGTAGTTGAAGCATTTGTTTGCTTATAATTATAATTATGGTAATAAGTAGTCTAGTATATTTACGCTCGGTAGAAATCTAGTCACTTTCTTAAAAAGTCATTATAATTCTTTGCCAGAGCTGCGGTGCCCTAGCTTAATATTTAAATGCAGTCCCGATGCATTGAGGCAAGAGGTATAAATGTTACCTTGGGGAATAAGAGACCAATTCTTAGCTTTACAAAACTTGGCCAAGAGTGAATTCACCTTCTCGATTCTTGCATTTAGCTTAAAATTGTCATGATCTCTATATATTATATCTGAGATCGCAATTTTTGATAAACCATTCACCATAACACATTTACTCAGGGCTTCCACTTCTTTCGCAATTTCCTCTGGTCCTTTGTGTTGAATATCATTACTTCCAACATGTAGTACGACAAGTTGAGTGTAGGCTTGAAATAATGGTTCATATCAGCAGTGGTTTCACCTGGAAATTTTCAACATGTGGTTTCACCTAAGCATTTTTAACATAGAATCGCCTAGAATTGCTATACATCTGTCGGCAAACATCGGCGACTTGGGAGTATGATGGATATTTGATGTTTGTTTCTTTCTCGCCGTTTTCTTGCTAGAGGAATAAACATAAAACATTCAAAGCAAACTTGCCCTATATTTCACGACTTCCCATATATAGTGAATCAATTCTTCTCATTTCTTCAAACAAAAGTTGCTTCAAAGTTCATTCTGTGAAACGTGATTTTCTAAATAAAAATTAGGGCCTCTATGCTTTTGAAAACTGAAATCTTTCTTATTCCACTACTGGCAAACAACCGTATTATTGAGATCAGTGAAGTCCACCAATGAAGCATGGTCGTGCGCCGGCAATAATTGGTGTACTATAGACTTCGCTAATGCTTTCCCCGGGTGTAAATAGCCGGGCGGAATTAATACTCTCGCCTCGGGCTAACGCCCAGAAAGGCGCTGCGCGCCGTTGTGTCTACCATTAATTTAGGTTTAGGCAGGGATATTATCTTGAAATGGACGAAACAATGGATTTGCGGGCATAAATGTGCAACAAACATTTAGTTTTAAAACAAATATATTACTTTAACTTCTGACAAATTGATAAATCGGGCTCCTCCTTACTATATCTGCCTTATATTTATATTCCAATCATACATTGAATCATATAAGGCTGGATGAGCTCAACAGTATCGAATCTATGAAGGGTGATTACTGCCAAAATTAATGTTTGAATTTTGTATTCCAAGTTCTAGATTTTGTTGTTCGGTACATGCTTTGTGATATCAATGAATTGAATTTTGATATTATAGAATTGAATTTTGATTTTCGCAATTGCATTTGCACTTCTGTTTGCGCATTCTGTCCTTTAACATTCCATTGTAATGACGTAACATTCTGCGGGACCCTCAGAACACAATTTTCAACTCGTTTCTAATGATAATTTATTTCCCACATATAATTTTAATGTTACATGTAATGTGATCATACATATAAATTTACAGTAAACAAGACGCTTGCTAAGTGTTTACTCGAGCTAAAGGGGTGTTTTTGCTGGAGTTAGAAACTTTGTATTTGTAAATTATCGTATCCAGTGTATTCACAATTTCACATCAAGATGTACTTCAGACATTTTACATCTTACTCGTTATAAAGTGCATTATTTACGAGTTAATTCAGCGAGCTACTTGTGGCGTTTGCTAAACAAAAAAACCGTGTGTCCACGTATCTTGTGGCTTAAAAGAACGCGTTTGTCCCCAAAAATTACCTCGACCGCGCTTCGCCGGAGGCTGCTATTGTTAGCCTTATTGTACAGGGCGAAAAGTCGCCGAAATTCATCGTGACTAGAGGTTGTGGCTTGTTGACTTGGGGAAGGTTGAATTCAATTGGACGCACTGTATTGCCCATATTGCAGTTCCTTGCACAACATCCTTCACTTTCAGCAGAATATTGCGTTAAAATGCTTGCCGCACGGCGTGATAAAGTGGCTGCTTCTTGTGATTTTGAACGTAAACGGTTCTCGGCCATTTTATCCGTATGCTGAACAGCCGAAGTAACAATGTTGGAATAATTAGAGATTTTTAAAATTATGTGCGGGAAATAAATTATCATTAATTCGAGTTGAAAATTGTGTTCTGAGGGTCACGCATGTTACGTCATCACATTGGAACGCTTAAGGACAAAATGCGCGAACAGAAGTGCAAATGCGATTGCGAACATCCAAATTCAATTCTTTAATATGAAAATTCAATTTATTGATATCATAAAGCAAGGAACGAACAACAAAATCTATAACTCTGAATGAAAAATTCAAACATTAATTTTGGCGGTAATCACTCTCCATACGAACAGGCTCATCTGACAATAACTTGGGCACTAGCTGGTTTTGTGGAGGAAGACGCGCGGGCGAGGGGATTAGAGCTGCACAAAGGCGCGCAGGCGAGAAAAAGGAGCACAATTCCTCGCCCAACAAAACCGGCTGCTATGCAGTCTAATAGCAGCAATATGACTGATGCCTAATTACAGAGCACAGCTACTGTGCAAGTGTCAGTTTTGAGCTGATCCCAACCCACCCTATTATAAACACCTCCTATTGCATGGGGGAAACTAGAATTACCGAGAAAAATTACTCAGAGAAAGACTTGAATAATTTTCAACAATTGACAAGTTTTACCTGTGCAATGGGACGATCTGCTTCATGGTCAATGCTATACTGATCTCATAATCTAAAAGAATGTCCGTCATCCCTGAAATTATTGCACTTTTTCCTACCTCAAAGCATCATTCACCTTTGAAATATTTGGATTGGTTCACAAAGGTATAAAGCTGGACATGCGGGCAGGTTGTAATATGTGCACCACAATAAAGGCAGAAATTGTGGCTAAACTTTTATTAATGGACGGATCCCAATTAATGCAATGTATCACGAGGCAATTTTTGCCGCAACTAAAAACGCAATTCTGACATAGATCCACGTTAGGCCCTATATAAAAAATAGTCCGCGAAAATTCAGAACATGTCCTATGGTTTATTCTGCCGACATTTTAGTCATTACATTTCTTTCATTTTTCATCCCTTAAGAGTAAGTAATGTTCGTGCTCATGCATGCTTTGGGGAGGGCACACAATAAAACAATTATTGACCTGTCAATAATAGAATAGATACAGTGCGCATGCGCATCAAACGTAAAGTTCCAAAGTATATATTTTTAAACTTTTTCATTAAACATTTGCATTTGGTTTCAAAGTTCCCTCCAATAATCGGTGAACGATATATCCATGCTTTGACACTTACCACTCGACCGTCTCGGGTCCACAAAACGCATTAGACACCTTAAGATTGACGTTTCTTTTACTTACGTCCAACCGCAAACCGCGGTTTGCCACGTTAGCCGTTTCACGTTTGCCGTACTTGCAAATATGACATTAAGATTGACGTTTTTCTTAGCGTTCAACTTTTTCCCGCAAAAACTATATGATCCATCTGAATTGTGCCATCCTATCAAAAGAGAAACAAAAGTCACCACTAATTTGTTAAAATGAATTGAAATATGCATGTATAAATGTAAGTAGGAAATATGCAAGTATGTTTAAACACGGGCCGTCTGCAAAGGTCATGAATGATTTTCAACTTGCTTTATCGTGAATGTTCAAATGTAAATGTAATTATTAAAATTATTCCAAACATGACTTAAAATCAACAGACATTAACTTAAGAAACCTATATACCAAGTCTAAGTACAAAATATTGAAACAATCGACATTTTCATGTTTGTTTAACGTTTAAATTAACCCAAGTAAATTAGAGAGTCAATTGTGCGCCAGGTTGTTTATATATCGAATTACATGGTTCTTTGAAAAATTTCCCGTTAAAAACAACTTTAATTTAATCCATCCAAATCAAAGATCATAAGTTTCGTTCTGTGTTGGTGTAATGTACTCAGCTGAATATGATGCTCGTGATGTTACTCTGAATGTATATCCACACCGGACAAGCTTGAGCTAGTATTCCCAAGGTCGTAGGTTCGATTCCCACCGTGGCCGGGCATACTTTTCAAGCTTGCCCGGTGTGGATACACACTCAGAGTAACATAACGAGCATCATGCAAAGTATATTTGTTTTAATATATGTCATATACGTGAAATTAAGTAACAACAGTTGAATAAAATGCTGGGGTAAATTACTTACCGGTAGAATGCGATTTACGGCAAAAACGCAACGGCGAGCTCCTGGTCACTTGGCTTCTATTAATAGCGGTTATAGCGCGATTACAGGTTTACTAAGGTGTCTACTGTTTCCCTCGGTCTCAGTAAATAAATTATAATTATTTACGTGTCGGCAGAGAGGAATGCGGGCCATGCTCGCTTTTCACTTAGGGGTCGTTTACATGAGCCCTACCGGGAGGGCTGGCTCTAGCAGTAGGTCTAATTTTCACCGCTTGTTTACATGAGAAAAATCAGCCTACTGGTAGGGACAGCTTCCTTTCGCAAGTAGCACTTAAAAGGCTTCCGTGCGACTCATTATTTTTATTTTGGTATCCAAAATCATAGTTTCCCGACCTAATTTTGGAATAAAAGCCAACAGACATTTGAATATCCATTTAGAACTACATCCTTAAAACAAAAAAAGCTGCAAAATCGATTCGACGGCATTTTCACTCAGCCCAACTAGGAGGGCCAGCCCTCTCTACCGCGTTTATATTAGAAAATTCCAGCCCTACTAAGAGAGATCTCGGATGAATAATAGTGAGATCTCGCCTAGGAGGGCTGGCCCTCTTCTCATGTAAAGGTAAACAATTTTTAATAAGCATTTCAAATAGCACGCGGGATCTCGCCTACAATCAGTTTCAAAAGTCTTGGGACAGATGCCACAAAACCTTTGAATTTCAACAAACGACAATCCCCCCCCCGCCCCCTGTTCAATGTTGTGTCCCATTTCTTGTCGGGTTTGATGTGTTTTGGTATAAACAACATTGATTGGGGTGGGGGAGGGGGAGGGGAGCGGTATTGTGTGTAAAAAACTATAATGATCCACTTACAAGCTAAAACTACATGTGTCCCAACAACTTCTGAAAGTGATTGTCTGGGCCCCATATGCCATAACATCATTGTACATCTCCAAAGTACAGGGAATAGAATGCTCTGCGAACGAAGTATTTCAGCTCCATTTCGTTCACAGAACATCTAATGACATTACAGAACAATTAAGTTTCATTAAAATTCTCAAAGTTAATAATTAACAGAATATGAATATATTTTGTTATGTCATATTGCATTCTAAATCACAAAGGTTTTATACGTTGTTTGTTTCTACAAATTTTGGCAAAGCACTAGTAGGTTATTTGAGAGGTTATAGTCCGTCAATAAAGATAGGTATCGCAAATGTTTTACGCTAGATATGTCACACATACTGTTAATTTATAGCATAGTAATATAACATCCGGTTACTTTCGCTTGCGGGTAAGGGCTGAGTCAACTGCTAATTCGGGTACTTCGAAGGAAAAGAACGTTTGATTTTTACCACCAACAGTGAATGTGACATTTCACATCTTTCTAGAGCAGAATTTGCAGCTATAATTGTCGACGCATGGGTACGAAGGAGCACTCAGTGGGTGGGAATTTCGGAGGCTAATGGAAAGGGCGGTATCATATAGTATATATGGTCACTTCCACATGGCTAAAAAATTGTCCGCAAGATCAAGTTGGCGAGCTATCGCAAAGCTCGAGAAGAGTAAATTCGGCATTTAATTGAACTCAGTCAGACAATCCCAAAAATTACCATTCAGTGTATTCGTACGTGGTAAAGAATGACCCGGACTTCGTGATTTCTCCAGGGCTTATAGACCCCCCTAATGCTGACGCGTTAGCAAGTACTAGCGCGCGCGACACGTCGAAGCAATAAAGTTGCACAGGCTTGCAAAAAATATGTGACGAAAGGGACTCGCTGTATACGGCGTTGTACGCATTATACGACACAAAGTTAGTGTTATACGCTAATTATGCTAATAAGCGTTTCCGGTCCAGACGAATGCAATGAAACTAACATCGGTTGTCACTTCGATTGTCACTATAGAAATGTGAAATAATGGGCAACTAGGCAGCTTTTAAATCAGAACAAGGCTAAGAATAATTTGTTGAGAATGTCTAACAATGTATTTGCTATTAATGAAAGGGTTTGAAATTGATTAAGCAAAGTTTTGGATCGATTGACACTTTTTTACATAAATAAATCTGATATATCATAGTGATATTTCTAGAGTTGAGTGTCAATCGATACATTTTATACAATTTATATACTTTGTGATTAAGTAGAACCAGTAATATATCAATACGCGCTACCTAAACACTTTTGCTTAGTACTTAATATTCTGAAAATTATTATCCCGCGACAATTGAAAGTTATATCAATCAAAA